TTTTTTTCTAACTAAGAAAATTAAAAACAAAAGAGCTACCCTGATGCGTGTGAAGTGGTGTCTTATTGTGGTTAGTCTATTGTTTGATATCTCAATTCAGCCTTTCTCCTGAAGTCCTCAGTGTTTTCACACTGTTCCAGCCATCCATACAGTGTTACTGTGACATGAGCCTCAGTTTCCCGTTAGCAGAAGGAGAAAGGAGACCATGGATCTTACCTTGGAAGTAAGAATGGCCATGGTCACCCTTTGTTCTGTGTGCAGTGCAGGCCTCGCAGTGCCTGTTGGCCAGGCCCATGGGGCGTCACCTTGGGCTGGGACATGGGCTGTGGGAGGAAGAAGCAGGTATCTTGGTGTGGGTCCTCACCTCTGCAGTGGGTCTACCAGGCCACGGGGAGAGTCTGAGACTTGCTGGCTCAGGGCAGAAAATGCCTGTGGCTCCTCAGGTGAGTTTGAGTTATTTTCACTGGGTTAGAAGAAAAATACCCCGTGGGTTCTGGCTGAGGGTTTTCTGTGGCAGATTCCTGGGATACAGTCTGAATTCATTCCTGATTCTGAGAAGGAACTGAAGCAATCCCCCAGGAGTTCAAAGTGGAATTTAGGGTAAGCTGCTTGACCCAGAGAGGACTCCCCATGATCGGCCAGCAAGGGTGCCCCCTCCTGGACTGGCCAGGAACTCGGTTTTGGACCTGGCAATTCGGGGCTGATGAAAAGAAACATTTTAGCTAATACTTAACCATAGTGTTTAATATGTACCTGACATGGTTTTAAGTGGCTTACCTTATGAGCTCTCTGGATCCTCATGACAACGTTATGAGGTAGGGACTGTTATTATCTCCGTTTAACTTATGACGGAATGCAGGCCCAGGGCGATTAAGTAACTGGTCCCGTGTCACACAGCTGGTAAGTGAAGCTGGGATCTGAATCTAGGCACCCTGGCTCCAGACTCAGGCTTCGAGAGATTTGAAGAAAGGATCAAAGCCAGGGGCCTGATTTAGTCAGACATCGCTTTTCCAGGACACTTCATAGTTTATAGTGTTTTTATATGTTTCATTAACTCTCCATGACAACTCCGTGAGGCAGACGTTCGTGTCGTTCTCATTTTGACAGAGGTGGAAACTGAGGCCCAGGGCCGTTCTGGAATTTTCTTAGGGAAGCCAGGTGGAGCGTGCCAAGGATGTGCAGAAAAGGGAACCGGTGTATGCCGTTGGTGGGAACGTAAATTGGTGCAGCCACTGTGGAGAACAGTGAACTTCCTCAGACACTTAAAAATAGAAATACCCCATGATCCAGCAATCCCACTTCTGGGTGTACATCCAAAGGAAATGAAAACAAGCTGTTGAAGAGATACCTGCACTCCCATGTTTATTGCATCATTACTCACAATAGCCAAGATATGGAAACAACCCAAGTGTCTGTCAGTGGAAGAGTGGATAAAGAACGTGTGTGTGTGTGTGTGTGTGTGTGTGTGTGTGTGTGTGTGTAGACACAATATGTATACACACACTCTCTGTGTGTACACACACACACACACACACACACAGAAATACTATCAATACTATCCATAAGAAAGAAGGAAATCTTGCCATTTGCAACAACATGGTTGGACCTTGAGGATAATATGCTAAGAGAGATTAGTCAGACAGAGAAAGACAAATACTACATGATGATATCGCTTATGTGTTGAATCAAAAAAAGCGAAACTCCTAGAAACAACTAGAATGATGGTTACCAGGGGCTGGCTGGGAGGGGGCAAGGACTGGGGGAGATGATGGTGAAAGGGTACAAACTGGCACCTAGAAGATGAGTAAGTTCTGGAGATCTAGTGCACAGCACAGCAGCTCCAATGAACAGTGCTGTGTTATACACGTGAGAGCTGCTAAGAGACTAGATCTGGAATGTTCTGACCACAAGAAAGAAATGATTATGAGAGGTGTTAGAAGGGTTAGCTAACGGTATCGTGGCCATCATTACAATTACAATATATAAATGTGTCAAATCAGCATGTTGTATGCCTTAAACACACGCATTGTTATAGGTCAATTATATCTCAAAGACAAAACAGGAACGTAAGGAGAGAAAAAATAAAACAAACCAAGAAAGTTGTTTTGGAGCTGCCCTTGACCCTGTGTGACTCCATTCCGGTCCCTTTTCCATAATCCCTTTTCTTGCTGCCCGGGGTTGGCTTTGCCAAGGCCAAGGCAGAGCTCCCACTTGCTTCCTGCTTGTGGCTTTGGCCACGTCTTCACCCCTGAGAGCTGTCAGTGCCTCGGCCTTTCTGTGCTGCCCTGGCTGTGTGTTCATCACAGTTGGTCTGAGCTGGCTGAGCACAGCCGAGCAGGACAGTGTCTGCAGAGCATGGGAAGCCCAGTGCAGCCCAGTGAAGAATGGGGAGGAGCTCAGAAACCATCAGGCTGGGAAAGAAAGTGGGGCAGGCGGGACACTTCTTAAGGGCTGGGGAGGGGAATTTGTCCTTTATCCTGTGTCCAGTGGGAGCCCCTGAAGGCTTTGAGGAAGACAATGGCAGGCTTGAGCTGGCCCTTAGGAGGCTGACTTTAGTCTCTGTGTGTCGAATGGCTCTGGGCCTCACCTGGCTGAGTCCCAAAAGCCCATCTTCCTAGGTTGCCTATGACTTCCTTCTGCAACTTGTCTGTCACTGAGTGTCGCTGTCTGTGTGGGGCTGTAAGCTCTCAAAGGTCGCTGGCTTTTGGAGGGCACCACTGTCTGTGTTTCTTTTGCTGGCTAGTGGCTGCAAAGCCCACGCCTGGGCACCCTGGCCTTGTTTGACCCTCCCACGGCAATGCAAGGCAGGCATCATGGTGTTCCTGGTATCCGGAACTTACAGATGAGCCAGCTGGGCACCAAACCTAGGATTCTCCCTGGGATGGCTTCTTTCTCTGGAAAACTCCTGTTGATCTTCCCAGATGCTTCCTCTCCTGTGATGGCTGTTGGCTTTCTCGCAGAATATGAGCGCTGCTGTCCCTAAACCCTGACAATGCTTTATTTGTCCCAGACTTCATTGTGTTAGAGATATTTATCTTGTTTTCCCAGGTAGCACCTTGAGGGTCCGGTCTGTGTTATGTCTGCGCCCAGCTCAGAGTTAAATCCTTAACTGGAGACAGTCGGCCAAGAATAGGCATTGTCTGTGGCTGGCACGTATGTATTGTAGGCACTGGACGATAGCCATGAGTAGAGCAGAAGAAATTCCCCACCTGACCTTATGGGACTTGGCCTACTGGATCCTCTGCATGTGATCTCCACTTCCATAAATACCTTCTGAGGGACAGACAGACTTGAAGTGCCCTTCTTCGGATCTGGGGCAAGGTTGTTTTTTGTGTTTTT